GTTAAATTTACCATGGAAACATTAGCTGATAAAATACTTTTTACACGCAATGCTAAATTTTTAAGTACTTCGACAAACCATGACATGCAATCGGTACCGCGACGAGAATGATACGCGGATAACAATTCGTCGTTTACCGCTCTCTTCATCATTATCGCCCGCGGTAATTTAATATGACATCCCGCGCGCAAAGGATTATATTTATTTATACTTACAGTTAAATCGAGTATTCGCGACAATGCCCAACCGCTATCACGTTCCTGAAATTCTTCGAGCGATGCTAGAGTGGGCTCGACAACGCGCCGCTCGTACCCAAATTTATGCCAAAAATTTTGCTAACAAGATGCACTTATTAGTAGCTCTTGTCTCGAAACTTTTGGCGAAAATACTGACAGGGTGTGCCTCTTTACCATGATACTATATTCTATCTTGATGTCTCTTTCTATCATGTGTATCAACTAAATCTTTATTTCGCGGTTTGTCACGTACATTTGAAGCAGCCGTACATCAGCGCTTGAATGGAAAAATTGAAAAAATATCGCGTCTAGAAAGCTGAGGTTGCGTAAAGTAGATGAAGGGGCAAGAGTGGCATACAGATCGTTTCAACCTCTCCTAAATTTTCAGAGTATTAATCTCCCACCACGTCATACTTTTGAAAAATAAGCGTCACGTATACTCGGTTAATTTTTATACGATCAGTGTTGCGTCAACTGCTAGTACCAACGGTCCACTTCTCATAACCGAGAGACAAAATGTACTCTCCTAAAGGAAGTAGCAGCAACGGTTGCAAACGCATGAATTATTACGTTCCGAGCGGACGTTGAACAACTTGTACAAACGCCTAATCATGCACCAATATGGATTTATGATTTATCAATTGAGATTGTTAAAATACACAATGCGAATATTATGAAACTTACGTTACGCGATTCTTGCTTGTACATGAAACCATCAACTATATTCCCCTCTCCGCGGACCCCTAGCCTACCGGTTAGGACGCGGTCCCCTTCTCCCTCTCCGCGGACCCCTCGCCCATCGGTTTCGCCGCGGTCCCCCGCGTGACGTCATACCCCCGCGCCGGTTTCCCCTCGCCCCTCACCTCCCCTCAGAGGACCTGAGTTAGAACTCTCCTAGATACACTACTTTCGATGATAAGTTGCTGAAAATTTTGGCCATCACGACCACATCTGACACTGCTTAACCCAAATCAAGTAACTGTGCAGCCATGTTTTGAATTTTGGCCATGTGTTACACGATGGTATCGCCCGGTGCCATTCGATATTCGTGAAACTTTTGTGTGAGCATTAATCTGTTCGCCGTAGATTTCTGTTCATGAATACTGCACAATTTGTCCCACATCTCCTTGGCAGTTGCGCACACTAGCAATGATTCGAATCGATCATATTCCATCGAAGAAGATATCATGAACATTGCCTTCGCGTTATCACGCAACCACTTTTCGCCGGCACCCGACACCGTGTCGGCCGGTCTTTGTCGCGTATCATCGACCACGTTCCGTATCCCGTGCGAGATAAATAGCGCATTTAACTGGAATTTCCAGCCTTGAAAGTTTGTCCCGTCAAATTTCTTAACGTGACAAGTCGAGATGTCGTCAGACATAATGGATACAAGTCACACGTACTTAACACGTTTTCTTCCTGACGATCAAGATGGCTTTCCCGCGCACCACGCAACTCTCCTTGTTAACTCTCTCACACGATTCCTGCGCAATGTAATCGGTCTGGGCCTATAACCTATTAGACCAAAATGCGTCAAGGATGTGTGCGGAACCGGAGAGAAAGGAGAGAAAAATATTTGAAACAGTTTCTCTAATTATAACACAGTCGTAGAACTTTATTATAAGAATACACGCGGTATACTAATGCACGCTTGGCCTGCGCAGACAAAGAACTCAACTCGATTAGACTTATAAATAGAACCAGAAGTAATTTGGGATACTTCAATAATCAATTCAAAGAAGCATATGAGACAGATCATGAAAAATTCTTTGATATGACACGAATGATACCTGCCCAATATGATCATTTATGTCATCTTGTCACCTTTTCTCACAAAAAGAAGTTTACGAAAATCTATCTCAGTGAATAAATGAGTAGCCGTGACTCTCTTGTAAGTAAATGAAATGTTATCGTATTTTTTTTAGTTAATTTCCCAGATAACCAAGTTTGCCCGATCACCAAACAGAACAGAAAATCACAATAATATCAAATGGAAAAGTGACGGTCCTAAGTCACAGACCGTTGACGTCATATCTATGACGATAAAATGACGACATTTCTTTAATATAAGATGACGTATAAAATTGGTGATCTTTGGCTGCTTCTCGAAATTTTGCGTTCTTTCAATTGTACAAATCCATTGGATTTTTACCTCTTTATCAAATAGAATGATAAACATAGAATTATTATAGAATATATTAATGGAATTACAAATGTAATAAATATGATTTTATATATATACGGATGATTTTAACTTTTTCGGACATTTATTCAGACTTTTAAAATTATCAGTCTAATGTCTTAATTCCCTATATTGGGATTGCATCAGAAATTAAACTGATAGAAATAAATTCATTTTTAATCTCCTGCCAGTTGCTCGAAGCTTTATATATTTTTCATGACTGAAACTCAAATGCGAGATAATGCGCATCGCGCGTCGCATAGTGGTAAATAAACGAATTAGCGGCTGAAGTATGAACTATCTTTTTGTATAGTTTTGAAATGTTGCGCGCAGTAACATTTTTTATGAAATATTAAATAAATAATAATTTTCGATATAAATAAACATGCACATCAAATTCAACTATTAATATTAAACAATATTTCATAGTTTTGTAATATAATAATACCGTATTTTCAAGGGTTTTGAACAGAAAGTCATGTAAACTTTATAAGTATCATAAAATATTTATTACTTTCCTTATATAAATACGATAATTTTAATATTGACGTATTTTAACAACATTAGTTAATTGATCAGTAAATAACCTTAAAAGGACGATTAAATGATGTTATTTCTATGACGATAATATGTCGTCAAAAATATCACGTCTGTATGTTACGTCATTATTTAGTTGACTGACGTCATATGACGAGAAATGACCTTAAAATGACGTTATAATGACGACACCTTGCTATCTGGGATGATACCAAAATGACATTGAAATGACATCATAATGACTTTTGATAGTTATTATGCTGTCATTTCAATATTATTGTGATTTTTTGTTCTGCTTGGGGTATTGCAAATTATGCATTACATATTATATCGGTAGAACTCTGGCAGCAGCCGCGCATGATTTGCCATTTCAATTAGTGCCGGCAGAAATGTAACAGAGAACAAACAATCTCTGCATCATTATATGCTACAAAAAATGCTGCATTTAAGCAGAAGTTCTTGGCATAAAAACAATAGATTTAAAGTATTGCGTGTTAGCACAATATGTCAACAGAAGTTAAATAAAAACTGAACATAACATGATACATCATGCTATATCGGCAGAATATCGTTAGAAATCGAGTTTATCTGCAAGCACGGCGTAACGGCAGAAATGCTGCAAAAATTAAGCATAATCGCAAAGCGCGGTTAACAAAATTAAAAATGTGTAATGGCTCCTGCACACAGAACGCGGCGACACGGCAAGCGTTGCCACGTCCTGTGTCCTGTGTACAGGAGTCAAAATATTTATTTTTATCAGCTTAATTTCTGGATTCTAACAAAAGATTCAGAATATTAAACTAGAAGTTTGGAAACCGAATGGATAATTAGAAAATTTATTGACTTCTTGAAACAAAATAAAGAGTTCAATTTCCATACAAATCTTGAAAACGAATTAATAATAAATTAATCATTTATTTAAATTTATATATTTAATTAATTATTTATAACTATGCCAATATTCAGATTTTATGCAAATTCAAATAATTATGCTTTGCAGGCGTGTTTTATCTTTACTGTATTTTCGTCGTCACATTGTGATAGCAGGCAATGCTCGACTTTTGCTGCGTTTCTGCCGTCACATTATAACGACAGACCATGCTTGATTTCTGCCGCATTTCTGCCGTCAGATCTGATATGGCAGACTTCGCTCGATATTTGTTAAATATCTGCTGTCATGACGTAATAGCAAATAATACTCGATTTTTGCTCTATTTTCTCTGTTATATTATATCGGCAAGCAGTGCTGCCGGAAATTAATGAAGACGCAGCAGAGCGGAATCTGTTGCGAAGTCATGATTGAATTTTCTGGCATATTGCTGCTAGCATTTTGCTATCTGGGTTGGCTTACATTATTGAATATTTGTTGAATAATATTCTTTTTTATCATTCCAGATTCCTTGCTCATGGTGACAGTGCCAGATCAAAATCATGGGCTTTTTGATTTGGCAAATCAACTATATACAAAGTCGTATATGAGACTTGCGATGCAATCTGGCAAGCTCTTCAGGCGCGATATTTGCCGAAACCTTCGCAAGAGACATAGGAAAAGGTAATCGATGGATTTTGGAACAAATGGAATTTTCCAAATTGTATAGGCGAACTAGATAGAAAGGAATGGCTTTCACTTGGACGCAGTACAATTGGACACGGTGCAAATGGACACATTACAAAAGGACATAAGATTTTGCACACAATCTCGTGTCCATTTGTAACGTGTCCATTTGCACCGTGTCCAATTGTACTATGTCCAAGTGCACCGCTCCCGATGAAAAGCACATCACTATTCAAGCCCCACCAAACAGTAATTCTTTAAATTATAACTGTGGGTCGCTCCGTGTGGTACGCGGTTATACGCGTAGTTTCTATGCTAGTTTGTTTTATGCAGTTCGTAACCCAAAGTTGTAGGTAGAGAAATAAATGTTTTTGTCATCATAAATATAATTTGTTCTGTTCTCTCCGTTCCCGTCTTACATTTATATAAACGATTCTCTTTATTATAATTGGGATTGCACGTTTGACTATTGTTGTTTAATAGCACTTTACGTGCCCTTCCTCCCCGCTTCTTTGTTTGCGTCGCCGTCAACGTAGATTTTCCGGGGGCTCGTCTGCGTGGCAATGCTCTCCTTTCGTGGCGTCCTTCGTGGCGGCGAAATGAGAGGAGGAGGGTACCACTGGATCGGAGGCGTGGTACTCCGTGGCCGTCCGATGTCCGGAATGACCGGTCGATCCCTCCTAATTCTTGAACCGGTACGCCCGGGGCTGGTCTTTGGCGGGCTAGCGCCGAACAGTGCTTGCAGCCGGGCCTTAGTGTCCTTCCTTTTCGTCCCGGGGCTGCCCGGGAGGTGATTCTGCTTGGACAGCGGTAGTGGAGCTCCTGGAGCCGGTTGTTCGTTCCTGGCGTATGGCGGACTGTCGCCGAGGATCAGGTCTATAGTGCTCAGAGGATGCAGCGGCTGAGCTCCTGGTGGATTCGGTAATTGTGCGCCGGTTTTCCTTGGCGACCGAACGCAGGTTACCGGAGGCGACTGGGCGCCGTGAGCTCTTGGCGACCGAGCGCCTGAGGCTGGAGGCGACCGAGCGCCTGATGCTGGAGGCGACTGAGCGCCGACTTTTCTCTGCTTAGCCGAGGTGAGATGTAGCGGCACTGGGCGAGTCCTGCGCCGCGAGATGATCTCGACCTCTGATGGCCGAGTTGAGAATGCCCCGTCCTGTTTGCGAGACGTGGTGATGTGTTGCAAGTCCGGCGTCTAGCGCCGAGAACTTCCTTTATTGTCGAGAGCTAGCGTCTAGCGCTTCCTTCTGCCTCTTTCTCCAACGTTTTAGCGACTTGCGCTTGAAAGTGAGGCGTCTGGCGCCAAGAACTTTTTTCGTCCTTTAACCGCAGGGGGTCTGACCTATATTCTGGTCGGACGGCTTTCCACTTCCAGGTTGGCCCGGGCGCTTTGCGCCGCCTAGCGGTGCCGCTCGCAACTACGCGCGGACGCGCTATATGCGCGCCGGACTGCTTTCCACTTCCATGTTGGCCCGAGCGCCTTGCGCCGACTAGCGGCGTCTCCCGCACTACGCGCGGACGGGCGAGCGCTTGCGAGAAACGCTATTTCGTGAATATCGCGCTGCCGTAATTTTGTGGTTGCCGTAGGCCGCCACAATAACTATAAAGGATTTTTCAGTTTTATACTGATAGCAATAAGTGATGCCAATTATAAATTTATCTGGATTGATGTCGGTGACTATGGTAATATATATTCATAACATGAATCTCAAGCATGTCTTCTTATGTATTGAATGCAACAGTTAATTGAAATTATGTTTCGCAGGTTCCAACAGTGATGGTGGTGTATGGGCAAACAATAATCTTGGTCAAAGTTTGGAATCTGATACAGGAAATATCCCATTTCCCAAATTATTGCCTGGTACAACGACTCTGCTGCCTTGTACTTCGGTGGGAGACGAAGCATTCTCACTTAAATCATATCTCATGAGATCATATCCAAGAAAATCATGGATCAGTGATTCACAGCGAATTTTTAATTATCGCTTGTCCAAAGCAAGGCGAACAATTGAAAATACCTTCGGAATTCTTGTTTCTCGATGCAGAATTTTAAGGAGATCAATTCAATGCAAGGAAGAAACTGCTCATAAAATTGTGCTTGCCCTTATTGTTTTGCATAATTATATTATGTCCTCTAATGAATGCAAATATTGTCCATTACATTTTGTGGACCAAGAAAGTAATGATATTGTTACTCCAGGGCAATGGCGCAATGAAGAAAGAAGGATCACATATTGTACGTATTGGTCAAGTTGGCTCAAACCGAGCTGCTTACACTGCAAATGCTCAGCGAGACATACTGTGAAAATATTTCATGACAAACATTGGAGCAGTCGACTGGCAATTTGATTATGCATTAAGGGGTTATAACATTAATATTCCTTCGTAAGACATGCAATATGCTATTGTTAATTTGCAGGTAATCAAACTCCGATTCGTTTATGTTCATTTCTACCAATGTAAATTAATTTTAATCTCGGTTTTATTTATTTTAATTAATTAATTATATTATCTTTGGTAAATATAGCGAATAGGGGATCCAGCCCCAATGACCTTGATCTTGATATATGTTATCACGGACATAATTTTGAGTAACTTTTTCTTGTTATTGTTACTGCAACATCTGAAGCTGATTTGGAAGAGAAATATATCACTATTCTCGATGGCGAGTCCAAAACGGTAGTTATAAGAGAAGCAAGCTCAATTGAAAAAATTGAAAGATTTTTATGATGAATATAATGTCTCTCTTCTCTATATTATACTATAGTCGCTCCATATTTTTGTATTTTGTATTATTTAATATAATCTCTCTGTACATTATATATATACAGGGTGAGTCATTTTAATCAACGCACGCAAATATTCTTATTCTTATATACTCTTTATAAATGTATAAATTTGTAAAAGAACTGTAAACATGTTTGTGAGCGGTTGTGATTAGCAAGGATGTTTAAAAATAAAACAATGATTTGCATAAAATGAGATTTTATTTAATTTCCAATTTTTCCTATAGAAACATATACAGAAACACTTTTTCTAACACAACATTATTATACAAAACAAAAATTATTCTTCAACTTATAGATTCAATATTATAAAATCAGACGCTTAATCTCGTTTTTGCAGTCTCAAATGTCAAATGTCTACACTGTATCTGCAGAAGAACATCTTCCTAGCACCAGTTATATCCTGAGATACGCAATTTTGCTTAATTGAATTATACTATCGTTACATACTTGTGAAATATTTCGACTCGTTTCCAATATTAGAATGCCGTTGGCTAAATACTTTCTTACTAAAATATTTTCATTGTATCACATTAATTTTCAATATTTCTTAAAGACGATTACGCCGTTTCTGCTTCTCACAACGCTTATGTATCTATATTCGCCTTATTCCTCTTCCCATGCCTATAAGAGCAATTAGTATTCGATCTTATTGGGTTGGTGTTATTCATGTCATATCTAAGAATTCTTCATGATCTGTCTCATACGCTTCTTTGAAGTATCCCAAATGACTTGTGGTTACATTTATAGGTCTTACCCATCATCTCCTTTTATAGCGTCTCTTTCTTAGATATAAATATATCGATGTCAAATGCAAATATACACTCGATAACAATGTACATATAAAACTTGTATAATTGTCAACTATATATGTATAGTTACCACCATTGTCTTTTTCTCGCAGTGTGGAAGAGGGAGAAGCTCAAATCCTTATCTTCTTTATGAAATATGTTAACAATAGCTGCACATATTCCGAAATATATGCATGTAATGCAATGAGAAAATGAGTCGAGATTAACATATGGTACGATAATAATCCCAGATAGCAAAATGCTAGCAGTATGCCAACAGTATGCCAGCAAATTCAATCATGACTTCGCAGCAGATTCCGCTCTGCTGCGTCTTTATTAAACTTAATTTCTGACAGCACGGCTTGCCGATATAATATCACAGAGAAAATAGAGCAGAAATCGAGTATTATTTGCTATTACGTCGTGACAACAAATATGTAACAAAAATCGAGCGAAGTTTGCCATATCAGATCTGACGGCAGAAATGCGGCAGAAATCGAGCATGGTCTGCCGTTACAATGTGACGGCAGAAACGCAGCAAAAGTCGAGCATTGCCTGCTGTCACAATGTGACGACGAAAACACAGTAAAGATAAAACACGCCTGCAAAGCATAATTACTAATATAGATACAATAAAATCTGAATATTGGCATAGTTATAAATAATTAATTAAATATATAAATTTAAATAAATGG